GCTCACTGCGTTATGATACAGTCAAGCACCACATAACACTTCAGTTAAGGACAGCCAGGCGTAGTGACGCGCACAGTAAGCATATATAACAGTGCTGCCAGAAGATTAATACAGCTACAAAATTCCTACTGTCTAGTGTGTAGCACAATGCATTACTCAAATGTCTGTGGTGATGCTGTTGTCAACAAGCCTACTGCAGTGCCAGGCATATAAAAGTATAGCACATACAGTCACGTACAATGCATCATACTTGATGACAATGAATGACTATGTTACTGGCTTATGATTTACTATCCTATACTTTTTATTGTGATTTTAGAGATTACTCCTCCTACTAATTTAAAAAAAAGTTAACTATACAACAGCCTCAGGCAGGGTCCTTCAGAAGGCATTCCAGAAGAAGGCACTGTTGTCATAGGAGATGACCGTTCCATGTGTTATTACTCCCCGAAGACCTTCCAGTGGGATGAGGTGCAGTGGTGGAAGACAGTGATACTGATGGTCTTGACCCTGTACAGGCCTAATTAATGTGTGTGTTTATGTCTTAGTTTTTAACAAAAAGCTCAAAAAGTTAAAAAAAATAAAGATATAAGAAAACTTTTTATCTAGCTGTACAATGTGTTTGTGTTTTAAGCTAAGGGTTATTACAGAAGCGTTTAAGAGCTAAAAAAAAAAAAAAAAAAATTTAAAAAGTAAAAAAGTTACAGTAGGCTAAGGTTAATTTAATATTGAAGAATTTTTTTTTTTTTTTTTTTTTTTTTGAGACAGAGCCTCGCTGTCACCCAGGCTGGAGTGCAATGGCGTGATCTTGGCTTATCAACACCTCCACCTCCCGGGTTCAAGCAATTCTCCCGCCTCAGCCTCCGAAGTAGCTGGGACTACAGGCATGTGCCACCACACCTGGCTAATTTTTGCATTTTTAGTAGAGATGGGGTTTTACCATGTTGGCCAGGCTGGTCTCAAACTCCTGACCTCAAGTGATCCACCTACCTCGGCCTCCCAAAGTGCTAGGATTACAGACTTGAGCCACTGTGCCTGGCCAAACAAAAATGTTTTAATTAATTTAGTGTAGTCTGAGTGTACAGTGTTTATAAACTATATTCTACAAGGCTATACAGGGCTAGGCCTTTATATTCACTCACCACTCACTGACTCACCCAGACCAACTTCTAGTCTTGCAAATCTCATTCATGTTAAGTACCCTAGAGAGGTATACTGTCTTTCATATCATGTTTTCACTGTGTCTTTTTAATGTTTAGATATGTTCAGATGCACCAATACTTACCATGTATTACAACTGCCTACAGTATTCAGTACAGTAACATCCTGTCCAGGTTTGTAGCCCAGAGGCAACAGGCTAAGCCGTACAGCCCATGTGTATAGTAGGCTGTACACCTAGGTCTGCGTAAGTACTATGACGTTCGCATAACAACATCGCCTAAAGATGCATTTCTCAGAACTCATCTCCTTCACTGAGGAACACATGACCATGTAAGTATCTTTCATACCTTTTCTGGAATGTCACTGAGGCAGAATCTGCATCCAGTTATCACACCTTTAACATGCTGAAAAAAAATTTTTTTTTTTTGAGACAGGGTCTCACTCTGTCACCCAGGCTACAGTAGAGTGGCATGATTTCAGCTCACGGCAACCTCCGCCTCTTGGGCTCAAGCAATCCTCCAACCTCAGCCCCCCAAATAGATGGGACTACAGGTGCGTGCCACCATGCTTGGCTAGTTTTTTAGTTTTTTTTTTTTGTAGAAATGTGGTCTCACTATATTCTCTAGGCTGGCCGCCTCAGCTTCCCAAAGCACTGAAATTACAGGCATGAGCCACCATACCCAGCCTGAATAAAACGAATGTAGGATTTCTACGTTATGAGCCAACTGAATATAGACGGCCATCTCATCAACAGCAATAAATTTGTCATCTTCTTCCTTCCTTATACTAAATTTGCTGCTGTAAATCTTTCCAGAATCTGGGCTAAGTTGCCCTGGACTGGCTTACTCCAAGGCCTTCAAAGGCATTTGATGCTTTTACAGACAGACTGCCAGGCAACATGCAAATGGCTCTCAAACCAACACGTCTGACCACAGCCATTCCTTTGAGTTTCAGACCTACTATTTTCTAACCCCCTGACCAACTCTGAAAAACATCTAGTTTGCTGAACTTTGTTAGCTCCAGCTAGCCTACCAATATCAAGTCTCATTATGTTATGACAAGATCACATAAGGTCAGTACATACCACATTTGCTCCTAAAATTCATTTTGCCTTTACACTTAACAAAGGGTCAATTTTAAAGGCACTATCTGACCTCTTTCCAAAGGAGGTTTGGCATTCTTAATTTAGGATAGCTTTAACATTTCTGCTAACTCTGCTATTTACATACCCTAAGAGCCTTAACTCTCTACTGCCATTAAAGTTCAGTTTCCTCATCGAAAATATTCCATAAATAATTCTACCTGTATGTGGCAAAGCTGTGGTGAAGGTGAGACGTGCAGCGCAGCACAGCACCTGGCATACAGTAGCTCCATAAACACTGGCCATCATTAATTGACACTTCAACTCCCTTTCACCTAATGTCCCTTCCTGAGCTACTTATCAATCCTCCCTCTAGTCCATTCCCTGCCACAATACAAGGCCGCACTACAGATGGAGGAGGGTCCACGCTTCACACAGTAGAGCCTGCCTGTGTAGAGACCAACACTACCATCTAGCTACATCTCCTGTTGCTAAGCGCTTTATAGAAGTCATTTCATTTAATCTTCACAATTCTGTGAATTCAGTGTTAGTTGTTTCCACTTTATAGATGAGAAAAATGGAGGTTTAGAAAAATTTAAAAGCTTGCCCTAATTGGAGAGCCAGAAAGTAGCAGAACTAGGGCAGCTACAAGCCTGCAATTTTTTTTTTTTTAAGGTTGACTACCTTCTATTTCTTTATTTTTTTAACTGACAAATAAAATTGTATGTATTTATCAATGTATAACATGATGTTTTTAAGTACATATACATTGAGGAAGGGTTAAATCTAATTAACATATACATTACCTCATATAGTTACCACTTTTGAGGTAACAGTCACTCTCTCAGCATTCTTCAAGAAAAAAATATATGGGCCAGGCATGGTGTATCACACCTGTAATCCCAGCACTTTGGGAGGCCGAGGCAGGCAGATCACTTGAGGCCAGGAGTTTGAGACCAGCCTGGCTAACATCGTGAAACCCCATCTCTAATAAAAGACAGAAAAAAAAAAAAATTAGCCAGGCATAGTGGTGCACATAGCCTGTGGTCCCAGCTACTCAGGAGTCTGAGACATGACAATCACTTGAACCCAGGAAGTGGAGGTTGAAGTGAGCTGAGATCAAGCCACTGCACTCCAGCTTGGGTGACAAAGTGAGACCCTTCTCTGAAAAAAAAAAAAAAAAAAAAAAAAAAAGAGACTGTATCGTCACTGACTATAGTCTCCATTTTGTACAACAGACCTCTAGAACTTACTCCTCCAAAATGAATTTTGTATCCTTTGACCATTATCTCCCCAAACCCCCTCCCAACCACCCTAGTAACTGCCATTCAACTCTATATTTCTATGAGAGCAACTTTTTTAGATTCCACACGAGTGAGATCATGCACTATTTGTCTTTCTAGGCCTGGCTTTTTTCACTTAACACCCCCCAGGTTCATCCATGCTGGTGCAAATTCTTCTCTATGGCTGAATAGTATTTCATTATGTACACAGACCACATTTTCTTTATCCACTCATCGGCTAATGGACACTTAGGTCAATTCCATATCCTAGCTATTGTGAACAGTGCTGCAATAAACATGGGAGTGCAGATATCTCTTGAACATACTGATTTCATTTCCAAGTCAGCATTCTTGATAGCTACACTACCCTGTGTTCAACAGAGCTGGCTGTTGAAGCTTTCCACCATCTGTGTGGACCTGACCGCCCTCTTCCACATTATCAAGAGGCTCCCGGCTGCTAGTCTTTGCTCCTAACGCTTTTGTTCTGTGCTTCCCCTCCCATCCACCAACCACTTGCACTTTTTTTTTTAATTGTCAGGGATAGTTGTAAAAACTAGTCTCAATGTTCATACCCCCTTTTTTCCTCATCAGTAAAATGAATTTTACCTTTGTTGTTACACAATTTTTTTTACTCCTGCTAGGTTAAGTCCCATTTCAAATAATGGAGGTTTATCTCTACAGGCTGGCTAATCCTATGCAGAAATGAGGTGTTACCGCTAAATAGCTTTTATGCCAACAGTGATTTTTAACAGTGATTCTTTTAATCAATTAAGTGAATCCAATCAGTTCATTTGCAGATGTAAATAAAAGGCTTTAATGCAGCTTTCCTTGAGTAGCTAGTTTTTTATTTATTATATATTAAGTTAAGCTTTCCCATCCAAGCTTAGACATTAAGCCAACCCTTTAACTTATCAAATTCACTTCAGGGCTCCATCCACACTACCTACGGATGTTTCCCAGCACATCCCTTGCTTGACAGACTTGGCTTAATTCACACCTTCTCCCGAACACTCATCAGGGTCATTTTACTTGTTCCATATTTCTAATTAGCCCACAAAGAACTAACCTGCATCTTCTAAAAACTTCTAAAATGCTTGTCACTAGAATAAAAAAGAATAGATTAATAAAACAAAAATAGAGCAAAATGAAAGAAACTATTAGAGCAAGAAGTCCTTAAAATTCGGAATTAAATACAAACAAGTTTATTATCAATAGAGTAATTTATGAAAAAATTTTCAATTATGATTTTCTTGGGCTTTAATGTAAAATAATTTTAAAAGTAAATCAATTCTACCAAAAGTGTGTCATACTGGCCTCTGTGAATCACCTGTCTGAATTGGTCACATCTCCAGTAACAAGTGTACTTACTTTAGATTCTCCCAAAGGAACCTCATATCTACCAACTAGCCAGAATTAAAAAGAAAACAAAATTAACCAATAAAATGAGCAATTAATGATAAATAAAAGTAACTTACCTACTTCAGTGAGTTGATGTCTTTCTAATGCGAAATTCTTTGGATCCTTAATAAAATGAAAGGGTTGTATTTTTATTCCTTCAATTTGAGGAAATAATAAAGCAAAACCAGATTCTCCAATTTCTATTTCCTGAGGTCGATTGCTACCTGATCCCATTGGAGTCACTAGAGAAAAATTTAAACAGTTTCACCAATAGATTCAGTAAAAACTAGATAACTACAGTTTAGGTCACTAAGATAATCATCAAGCTAGCAAGCCACTATCTGAGTAAAAGTTTCCCAGCTTTGACAGTTTTGGGGTGTAGTGTCATGTTTGCAATTTAACTTTCAAATAGCTCAGAAAGAATTTTTTTATAAGCAAAGTGAGAAAAAATAAATGTGGCAAAATTTTTCAACTGCTGAGCTAGATAAAGGGTATATGGACATTTATCATGCCATTCTATTCTTCTTTCAACTTTTCCATAGGTATGAAGTTATTTTCAAAATAAAAAGTTGGGGGATAGTAAATACACTTTCACAGCAATTCCAATTTTTAAAAGTTTACCCTAAAAATATTTGACAATTATATGTACACTCAAGTATTGTATCATATAATTTTAAACAGAAAATAAAAAGAAAAACCTGAATGCCCCACACTGGTATTCAGGTTAAAAGTTACATTGATAGAATATGGTCATTAAAATGATGACAAATATGTATTTATAGACATGGAAATATGTTTGTAACACGCTCTGAATTTTAAAGGTAGATATCACAGATTGAATTGCGTCACCCCACCCCACTGCCTACCCCAAATTCATGTTGCAACCCTAACCCCACCATGTGACTATATTTGGAGAAAAGGCCTTTAAAAGATAATTAAGATTAAATGAGGTGATAAGGGTAGCGCCCTAATCCAACAGGACTAGTGTCCCGAAAAGAAGAGGAAGAGACACCAGGCACGCTTATGTACAAAGAAAAGGCCATGTGAGAACACAATGAGAAAGCAGCTGTAAGCAAGTGTCAGAGAGACCATCCCTGATCTTGGACTTCCAGCCTCCCAAACTATGAGAAAATAAGCTTCCACTGTTTAAGCCACCCAGTCTGTGGTATTTTGTTATGGTAGCCCTGGCAGACTAACATAGTAGGTTACAAGTCTAAAGAAAATTATATTCTGTGTTTTTTTTTTATTTCTGAGACGGAGTCTCACTCTGTTGCCCAGGCTAGAGTGCAGTGGCACGATCTCGGCTCACTGCAACCTCCACTCCTCCAGGTTCAAGCAATTCTCCTGTCTCAGCCTCCCGAGTAGCTGGAATAACAGGCGTCTACCACCATGCCCGGCTAATTTTTCTATTTTTAGTAGAGATGAGGTTTCACCATCTTGGCCAGGCTGGTCTTGAACACCTGACCTCGGGATCCACCCACCTCAGCCTCCCAAAGGGCTGGGTTTACAGGTGTGGGCCACCACACCAAGCCCATTCTGGTTTTTTAAAGTTACATACATATGTAAACAAAGGTTAATATCATAATAGAGTGGTTAACTCTGTGGTGCTTAAAGGTACTTAATTTTTTTGCTTTTGCTTACCTGAATCTTCTAATTTTCCTTTTTCTAACAATAAATAACAATTACATACTAGTATAAAAAAATAAACTTTTTGTTTTCAGACGAGTCTCACTCCGTCACCCAGGCAGGAATGCTGTGGTGCAATCTCAGCTCACTGCACCCTCTGCCTCCTGGTTTCAAACAATTCTCCTGCCTGGGCCTCCCGAGTAGCTGGAATTACAGGCATGAGCCACTATACCCGACTAATTTTTTTACATTTTTTTAGTAGAGATGGGGTTTCGCCATGTTGGCCATGCTGGTCTCGAACTCCTGACCTCAAGTGTGATCCACCTGCCCTGGCCTCCCAAAGTGCTGGGATTACAGGTGTGAGCCACCACACCTGGCCAAAAGGAAATAAACTCTTTTTTTAAAAAAAAGTTAAGCCTTTTAGAAACCAAAGCTATAGCAACTGAACAAATAATATTCATTTGTAAACACGCGAAATCCTTTTGACCTCACTGTACAAGACTCTGAAATTCAGATTAAAAATTTTTTCAATGAAGATTAAAAATAATAATACTCAGTAGAATACTACTGAGTTGAAACAAACAAACAAACAAAAACATAACAGCGTCCAGGTGCAGTGGCTCACGCCTGTAATCCCAGCACTTTGGGAGGCTGAGGCGGTGGATTACCTGAGGTCACGAGTTTGAGACCAGCCTGGCCAACATGGTAAAACTCGGTTTCTACTAAAAATATAAAAATTAGCTAGGTGTGGTAGTGGCAGGCACCTGTGATCCCAGCTACTTGGGAGGCTGAGGCAGGAGAATCACTTAAACCCAGAAGGTGGAGGTTGCAGTGAGCTGAGATCATGACATTGCACTCTATCCTGGGCAACAAGGGCAAAACTCCATCTCAAAAAATAAAATAACAGCTAACATTTACTTATTGCTTTCTGTGTCTCTCTAGTGTAAATGCTTTACAGGTGTTAACTCATTTAATCCTCACAACCCTCCAAGGAAGGTACTACTATCATCATCTCCACTTCCTTGATGAGGACAGTGAAGCCCCATGAAGTTAAGTGACTTGCTTAAAGTCCTACAGATATTAATCGGTACAGCTGGCATTCCAATCCAGGTATCTAACCACTGCCTCACTACTGCCTCAAGAGACTCTCTCCTCCCCCAATTAGCTACAGAAAAGAATCAAAAACAATAAAAACCAGCAAAATTTACCTGCAGCAATCAAGCATAGAAAGGGGCATAACTGCATACTACAGAAGTCAAACAGTGGTAGCAAAGCGGAGAAACAGGAGTTTCCTAATAAGGCTCATCTTTGCTCCTAATCCCAGCCCATCTCACCCCCACCCACCAGAAACAATACTGCTTAAGCTGACAGAACTCTGAAAATGCCCACAAATACTTCCTAATTTGGAGGGAGGCAGAATGAGATCTCTCCCCTCTTATGAATGACTACTAGGGATGCATTATCCAAGTAGCCTTGAGATGAGAAGTACTAACCGCGATAACTTAATAAACATTAATATAAGTCAAATATAATGCCACGGTAAATATGACTAACTTTACTGTATTTTAGATGGCCAGAAATATAAATGCGGTTTTTGGCTACAAATAATTCACCAATCCAAAGGACTCCACATTAATGCAAGGAGGAAATCATCAAGTTGCTAATTTCTCTCACCTACAATTCCTGGGGTCACAATCCCAAGGACCTGGCATTGTTTGGGGAAAAGCTTCTCAAGGGCAAGTGCTGTTTCCATACTAGTTCTTTTCCTTGCTGTAAAAATACAGTAGCAAAATGATTATCATCCACTTAAAGTCAAATCTGAGAATGAAAAAGTAAAAAAGCAAATACTGGAAATCTTTTAAGTTACTTGACACCAGAATGCTCTACATAAAGGTCTAAGAGCTTTGATTAAAACACTTTACCTGTTCTGGCCCCGGTTTTTAAATTCTAAATCTGATGTTCTGCATCACTAGCCTGCCTTTCCCCTTGTTCATATATTGCTTTTGCTCCAATGATGTCAAATTTAGCAGTAACAGCTGAATTTTGATTTGCTATTGTACGTTTCTGTTCAGCTGATATTGCAGCATAACTACTATCTGACTACATCAACAGTTAACTGGATTCAAATGAGACAATGAGAATCCATTATCTAAGTCCAACTTGGGGCCTCAGTGTGCCCATCTTGTATACCATTCTGCCGTTTCCCTCAGCAAGCCAAAAATGCACCATTTCCACACATAACTTTCATAAACGGGACCTCATGTTCCAATATAGTAAAAGGCCTGAACAGCCAAAGTCATACATCCCATTTTAATAATAAAAAGTGCCTGGAGAATTAAAGCATCTCAAAACGAGAAAAACAACTTTTTAACAAATTTGTTTCAACTGCAGTACAAGGTTTAAAAGTCAATCCGAAGCAGAAAGGGTTTGTCAAGGTTCAAAGGTAGATTTTTTTCACGGATACTACAGGTGGCAGTCGCAGAGCCTCAGACAGTTAACTCTCAGGACGAGTACAATACTGAACTCCAAACAGAAGGCACATAATGAAAAAAACAGAAACAAAACCTTTTCTTTTGATATTTACCTCTCTTATGGCCACGACATTCTTCCAGACTAATGAAAGTTTCTGAATCAGCCATGTAAAGAACTGTATGTGGTAAGATGCGAACATTCTGCAAAGGAAAAACAAAAAATTGAAATTGGATCCCAGGAATCCATGAATGTTTTTGCATGGTCCCTTAAAGTATCCCCAGTCCACAGTGCAATCAAATTAGAACTCAGGATTAAGAAACTCACTCAAAACCACACAACTACATGGAAACTGAACAACCTGCTCCTGAATGACTACTGGGTGTAAATAATGAAATTAAGGCAGAAATATTTAAATAAGTTCTTTGAAACCAATGAGAACAAACACACAACATACACCAGAATCTCTGGGACACAGCTAAAACTGTGTTTAGAAGGAAATTTTATAGCATTAAATGCCCACAGGAGAAAGCAGAAAAGACTTAAAATTGACACCAAAACATTTCAATTAAAAGAACAGGAGAAGTGGCCGGGCACAATGGCTCATGCCTGTAATCCCAGCACTTTGGGAGGCTGAGGTAGGTGGATCACCGAAGGTCAGGAGTTCAAGACCAGCCTGGCCAACATGGTGAAACCCTGTCCCTACTGAAAATACAAAAAATTAGCAGGGCATGGTGGCATGTGCCTGTAATCCCAGCTACTGGGGAGGCTGAGGCAGGAGTACCAGTTGAACCTGGGAGGCAGCACTCCAGCCTGGGCAACAGAGACTCCATCTCAAAAAAAAAAAAGAACTAGAGAAGCAAGAGAAAACAAATTGAAAAGCTAGCAGAAGACAAGAAATAACTAAGATAAGAGCAGAACTGAAGGAGGTAGAGACACAATAAACCCTTCAAAAATATCAGTGAATCCAGGAGCTGGTTTTTGGGAAAGATTAACAAAATACATAGACCACTAGCCAGACTAATAAAGAAAAGAGAAAAGAATCAAATAGACACAATAAAAATGACAGAAGGGATATCACCACTGATTCCACAGAAATACAAACTACCATCAGAGAATATTAATAGACCAAATAGACACAATAAAAAATGACAGAGGGGATATCACCACTGATCCCACAGAAATACAAACTACCATCAGAGAATATTATACCTCTACACAAATAAACTAGAAAATCTAGAAGAAATGGATAAATTCCTGACACATACACCCTCCCAAGACTAAACCAGGAAGGAGTCAAATCCCTGAATAGACCAATAAAGAGTTCTGAAATTGAGGCAGTAATTAATAGCTTATCAACCAACAAAGGCACAGAACCAGACAGATTCACAGCCGAATTCTACCAGAGAATCAAAGAGGAGCTGGTACCATTCCTTCTGAAACTATTCCAAACAGAAAAAGAGGGACTCCTCCCTAACTCATTTTAAGAGGTGGGCACCATACTAATACTAAAGCTTGGCAGAGACACAACAAAAAGAGAAAATATGAGGCCAATATCCCTGATGAACATCAATGTGAAAATCCTCAATGAAAAAATGGCAAACTGAATCTAGCAGCACATCAAAAGCTTATCCACCACAATCAAGTTGGCTTCATCCCTGGAATCCAAGGCTGGTTCAACATATGCAAATCAATACACATAATCTACCACATAAACAGAACCAATGACAAAAACCACATGATTATCTCAACAGATGCAGAAAAGGCCTTTGATAAAATTCAACACTGCTTCATGCTAAAAACTCTCAATAATTCAATGCTATCCCCATCAAGCTACCATTCACTTTCTTCAAAGAAGTAGAAAAAACTACTTTAAATTTCATATGGAACCAAAAAAGAGCCTGTATAGTCAAGGCAATCCTAAGCAGAAAGAACAATGCTGGAGGCATCATGCTACCTGACTTCAAATTATACTACAAGGCTACAGTAACCAAAACAGCATGGTACTGGTACCAAAACAGATATATAGACCAAAGGAACAGAACAGAGGCCTCAGAAATAATGCCATACATCTACAACCATCTGATCTTTGACAAACCTGACAAAAGCAATGGGGAAAGGATTTCCTATTTAATAAATGGTGTTGGGAAAACTGGTTGGCCATATGCAGAAAACTGAAACTGGACCCCTTCCTTATACCTTAAACAAAAATTAACTAAAGATGGATTAAAGACTTCAACATAAGACCTAAAACCATAAAAACCCTAGAAAAAACCTAGGCAATACCATGCAGGACACAGACTTCATGGGCAAAGACTTCATGACTAAAACACCAAAAACAAGAGCAACAAAAGCCAAAATTGACAAATGGGATCTAATTAAACTAAAGAGCTTCTGCACAGCAAAAGAAACTATCATCAGAGTGAACAGGCAACCTACAGAATCGGAGAAACTTTTGTAATCTATCCATCTGCCAAAGAGCTAATAACCAGAATCTACAAGGAACTTAAACAAATTTTACAAGAAAAAAATAACCCTATCAAAAAGTGGGCAAAAGATATGAACAGACATTTCTCAAAAGAAGACATTTATGCAGCCGACAAACATATGAAAAAAGGCTCATCATCACTGGTCATTAGAGAAATGCAAATCAAAACCACAATGAGATACCATCTTATGCCAGCTAGAATGGTGATTATTAAAAAGTCAGGAAACAGATGCTGGAGAGGATGTGGAGAAATAGGAATGCTTTTACACTATTGGTGGGAGGGCAAATTAGTTCAATCATTGTGGAAGACAGTGTGGTGATTCTTCAAGGACCTAGAAAGAGAAATACCATTTGATCCAGCAATCCCATTACTTGGGTATATACCCAAAGGATTATAAATCATTCTAATATAAAGATACACGCATACATGTTTATTGCAGCACTGTTGACAATAGCAAAGACTTGGAACCAACCCAAATTCCCATCAATGATAGACTGGATAAAGAAAGTGTGGCACATATATACCATGGAACATTATGCAGCCATAAAAAAGGATGAGTTCATGTCCTTTGTAGGGGCATGGATAAAGCAGGAAACCATCATTCTTGGCAAACTAACACAGGAACAGAAACCCAAACACCACATATTCTCACTCATAAGTGGGAGATGAACGATAAGAACACATGGACACAGGGGGGGGAACATCACACACCAGGGCCTGTTGGGAGGTGGGAGGCTAGGGAAGGGATAGCATTAGAAGAAATACCACTATGGCACATATATACCTATATAATAAAAAGGCATATTCTGTACATGTATCCCAGAACTTAAAAGTATAATAAAAATTAAAAATAAAAAGTATCACCCGGTCCAAACTGCTGGTACTCTACCTTCTTTCAGATCAATGTTGGCATTCTGAGTCCATCTACTTCTCATTTACTTTTCACTCGTGCTCTTTCATTTTCATTTTGTTTACTAAGCACCTATTTCTTCATTCCAGCCCTCAAGAAGTTCATTTTCACAATAATTGAAGCTCTTAGAACATAAACATCAAGTACCAGCAAAAGATGCATTTGCTTTATTTGAACAGGCATCACAGTAACAGAAAAATCTCAGAACTGGGAAAGGTATACAGGCTGTATCACTCCTCTTTTTACTGATTATCAAATCAAATCCTTCAAGCCTCTATATCCAGCCTTGCCAACAAGTTTCCTTCAGGGCCCCTTAGCTTACTATTAATATTACCCAGACGCCGGGCGCGGTGGCTCAAGCCTGTGATCCCAGCACTTTGGGAGGCCGAGGCGGGTGGATCACGAGGTCAAGAGATTGAGACCATCCTGGTCAACATGGTGAAACCCCGTCTCTACTAAAAATACAAAAAATTAGCTGGGCATGGTGGCACGTGCCTGTAATCCCAGCTACTCAGGAGGCTGAGGCAGGAGAATCGCCTGAACCCAGGAGACGGAGGTTGCCGTGAGCTGAGATCGCGCCATTGCACTCCAGCCTGGGTAACAAGAGCGAGACTCCGTCTCAAAAAAAAAAAAAAAAAAAAATATTACCCAGACACATCCACTTCGCCATATAATCTCCTGTTGCTCTCTTCCTGTGGAACTTAACACTGTTTCCCTCTAGAGACACCTTAAGTGCCACCTTCTCTCCAAAACCTTTTCCTAAACTCCCCCAGTATTCTGGACCTCAGATGCAACATCCCTTACCCCCAGTTAATCTTATTTGTGCCCTATCTTCCCTATGAGCTGGGCTTATTCAGACTCACCGGTTTGCAACTGAACTTTCCAATTAAAAACAAGTGGCAAAGTAGCTGAATTAAATGAAAAGGATGCAGATATTTTTCTAAGCTAGCTATTTTCAAAATTTTTTTACTACCAGAATAAAATATAGTACTTAGGATATAGCAAAGCCTCACTGTTGGTTAAAGGGAAAAAAAAAAAAGTTGGTTCACTATAATTTGGGGGAATGCCAAGATGTTTCAGAATACATTCTATATAAACTAATAAAAGAGACAGATAGCATGATATCCTGTGGGGCCCAGGGTTGCCCAAGACGTATGGATATGGTTTCCTTGGTCCACACAGCATTTTCAAAAAACGTAAACTGAATGTCAACGTTCAAATTCCAAAAAAATTTTTACATAAATGTGGATTTCCAGATTATTTTTAAAAACTGGACATAATGGCACACTTAGACTATGTGCCTCTTAACTAAGACTAAACAGAAGCAAGCCTTTCCAGTCTGCCATGGCGCTACCACTCTGTTAAGCTACCTGACCCTCTTCAGCTACCTGCCTGACCTTCGAGTCATCTGAGTCTGTGATGCCTGGTATAGTGAGGAAAGGAAACAGAACTCAAGAGATTTAGGGGCCAGGTCCGGTGGCTCATGCCTGTAATACCAGCACTTTGGGAAGCTGAGGTCGGCAGATCACCTGAGGTCAGGAGTTTGAGACCAGCCTGGCCAACATGGTGAAACCGCATCTCTACTAAAAATACAAAAATTAACCAGGTGTGGTGGCACACGCCTGTAGTCCTAGCTACTCAGGAGGCTGAGGCAGAAGAATCACTTGAACCTGGGAGGTGGAGATGGCAGTGAGCTGAGATTGGGCCACCACACTCCAGCCTGGGCAACAGAGTGAGAGTCAGTCTCAAAACACCCCCCCCAACACACACACACCCCCACACACACCCACACCCAGATTTAGGTCTTAGGTCATAGTGGCCACAAGCTGGCAAAATAACCCTCATCAAGCTTTTAGGCCTCAGGTTTCCTATTCCTGATTAAAAGTCTGGTCCTGAGATTTTATGAGTTTACCTTTCTAGCAGCCACTGAAAAGCAATTGCTGAATCTTCCTTCCTAATTCACACTAGAAGCAGTGACATAACAATCCTCAATATGAAGTGTTCTCAAAGCACAGTGTAAGACAGCTAGCACCATGTTCCACTGTTCAAAGAAGTTACAAATGGTAAGCTGTTTTTATAAAACTTCTGGTGGACTTTAAAATATTTCTTTTCTTTTCTTTTTTTTTGAGACAGAGTCTCATTCTGTCCCCAGGCTGGAGTGAAGTGGCGAAATCTCAGCTCATGCAAACTCCACCTCCCAGGATCAAGCAATTCTGGTACCTCAGCTACCCGAGCAGCTGCGGTTACAGGTGTTCACCACCACACCCAGATTTTTGTAGTTTAATATTTTTATTTATATATTTAATATTTGTTCAATATTTTAATATTTTTAAATATTTATGTTTTTAGTGGAGACACGGTTTCACCATGTTGGCCAGGCTGCTCTCAAACTCCTGACCTCAAGTGATCTGCCCGCCTCAGCTTTCCAAAGTGTTGCGATTACAGGTGTGAGTCACTGTGCCCAGCAGACTTAAAATACTTCTAATAAAAAAGTTAAATCAACTTTCTTTATGGCTATAAACGTACCCATTGTCCACTAGATAACTTGGAAAACACGATCAGCATGTATGATTTAAGTAGGGTTTTCGTGTGTTTGTCTCACCAGCAGTTTACTACAATGCAGAACTCCTCTAAGGGCATTACTGAACTCTGTGAACTTTAATAATGATAGTAATAAAAGAGTATTTAATAGACATCTATTGAGAACTTATACTCCCTGTACTATAGGTAATGTGTTATATGCATTACATTTCCATTACTGAATCCTTACAACAACTCTATAAGGGCATAGGAAAATCATTATTTTTCTTTTTATTTTATGGAGATCGCACCTGAGGCTCAGAGGGTTAAGTAGCTTTTTCAAGGTCATACCGCCGTTATACGCCAAAGCTAGGGTTCACACGTAAGTCTGTCGGGCTATAACAGCCACTACAACGTATAAACTCTTAAAGCTATAGGAAAATAATGCCTGCTGTGGTAAAAATTTGAAAACGATGACTACAGAGAGAAAAGTTTTTAAAAACATTAAATAGAAACAAAAGCTAACATTTTGGCTTTCTTTTCTACTCTCTTTTTTGTCTTTAATAATTCCGATGATTCTAAATACATAATTTCACAGTCTTTTCACTTTTAAAATCAACATTTTCTCTTGTCATTAATGGACTTGCAGTTTGTAATTTAATAACTTCATTACATTAACATTAGGTTTTCAGTATCCCTTATTATAAATGATGCTCCAGAGAACATTTTTGAGGAAAAGTCTGCCTGCACTTTGAATTTTTCCAGATGATAAACTTCTGGAAAGAGATGTCATGAGTTGGGACAAAGGGCCAGAGAAGAAAAGTTTTCTAATAAGCGAGAGTTCCAGAGCCCAAACAGGGTAAGGAGAAAGACCACCTAAGGAAGGGGGAAACAGAAGACTGGTTACATATGGGGCATTGATGTAATATCTAAATACATTAAGAATGATGAGAACCAGGTTTCTCATTGCCCAAAAGGGAGATACAGATATGAGCAGAGACAAAACTGGAACGCATCCTGCGTTTGATTCGAAAGGCTGCACCTGTGTTAACTCATGAGTTTCCACATATACAGAAATATAGTTGTACACTTGTGTATACATATATACTGATTATATACACACACATGCTTGTATATACATACTTACATTCCTTGGCTCTAATGACTGAGCTTTGGAGCAGCAAATCCCTCGATGGCAAGGAGTAGTACATTTAGAGAATCTAGATCTTGATTTCTAAATATCACACTCCATCAAACGAAGCCAGGGTTTCATGGACAAATGGCCAATGCCAGGACCAGAGCAGGTAAAACCCAAGACAAGCTTAGAACACCTTGTGCCAGACAGCAAGTGGTCAAAGATAAAGGAGTCATCTCTAAAGACAATGAAGTCAGCCTGAAGGAGCTCCCCCTAGCCAAACTGGGTTGGGGGTCGAGGGTGAACTGAACACCGAAATAAATACTGACAAGTAACAGATTATATCCCACTGAAATAAGACTTGGAGAGTGTGTACAGACATAAATAAACGAATCGGAAACACGACATTTACATAGTTTCAAATTATCTCTTCAAAAAACACTTAATCATTACAGAAGTGATTTTAGTGAAGAGACACTTGGCCAGCACCACCTTAACTGAGTAATCAAAGGTAGTATCACCAACAACGAGACAAATGGAAATCACATGCCACCTAAAGGATGCCGTGAAAAGAGCACAGCATGACTTCTGTGATTATTTCCTGCCAAACCTAGTAAGAAACACGCCAACGTAGTAAGAAACCTCACACATGGCCAACTGATGGATGTCCTACAAAATAGCCTGTAATTTTCCTAAGTGTCAAGATTGGGAAAAATCAAGCAAAGCTTGGGAAACTGTTCCAGATCAAAGGAGATTAAAGAAACATGACTTATTTAGAGCAACTTGCAATTGGGAACAGACCTTTTTTGCCATGAAGAACCTTACTGAGACAACTGGCAAAACCTGAACCGAGTCTGAGGATAAAATAGTAGAAATCTATCAGTGCCAATTTCCTGATTATGACGGCTGCACCGTGGTTATGTCTGTAAGCCGTAGGGAAGTAAAAGGAATGACAGAGCATCAGGTTGGCACTTCATTGTCAAATGGCGCCCTCCCACTCCTCAGAGAGATGGTACACCCTGCAGCCCCTCTGACTCCACAGTCCGAGTCTTTATCTCTCCAGGTATTGGCTCCCCTTTTGAAGTTGGGGGCCAGGGAAGCAAAAGAGTACAGGATCGGGAGTTGAAATATTTGGCTTTAACTTTTGCTTCTTGGTTTTCTAGGTGTGTCACACTGAGGAAAGCACACCCAGTTGCCTTCCCAGTAAAACAGACACAACAGAAACTTGCTTCAAGGGAAGCAGGTGGAGAGAAGGTTCTGCACAGCGTTGTTGTTAATGGTGAAAATGTGGATACTTATAAGGCCCATGATTTGATGAACGGTCAAATAAATCATGACACATCCTTAAAGTGTAGTCACTAAAACTAATGTTTACAACATTTTTTTCACGGCACGAGAAGATACTCCTTGAATTAACAAAACTGGGATAAAAAAAAAAATAGTTCTCAAAGACTGAACCACCAACCTGCAATTGACTGCGCGTGACACCCCTTGCTACTTGCCTCAAGCTCCTCGGCTACCACGCGAACCAAGCAATGCCTCTCCAGGTGGCCGGCATCGGCCAGGCCTGCGGAGATCCAGGTCAAGCTCCGATGGGTCCGCAACACTCGGCGCACACACTCCCTCCATAAGCGGCACACGCTGGGGACGCAAACGCACAAAGGATTGCAAACGGACGTTCATTTTCGTCGCTCCCACAGCTCACAAACCCCCACCTGCTGGCGCAGCAGCAGGAGATCCCCGCGGGATCCCAAGCCCCCGGGGGAGGTAGGTGTCAGGGCGCTGGTTCAGAAGGAGAGCCAGTTGTGGAGAAAACCTTAAGGGGAACTTCGCTCCTCAGGGAAGTCCCGGGGGCACTACGGCTGGAAGACACCTCGCGGGTGGAGGTCACCTCAGGTAGGGCGAAGGAGCCGGGAGCGGTCCTGGGTCCCCAGGGTCTCTCCCTACCCCGCCAGCCTGGGACATGCCCACGGCGCGTCCCGAGGCAAGCTTCCCGCCTCCCCTCCTCACCAGGCCACCCGCAGCAATGCCTTGGCGGGCAAGAAGGTGAGCACACGCTCCACCACCTCCGCTAGGTTACTTAACACGAAGGTGCTCCGTGGGTCTACGGAGGAGGAGCCCCGGCGGTCGCCGCAGCCACCCACAGGCTCCATTCCTCACCAGCCCGCCGGAACCAGTCCTACGGCGGCTCGGAGGGACCCGGTTACGCCTGCACACGATTGCCCGGCCGGAGCGCACTGAGCAGGCGCCCGCACCACTTCCGCCTGACGGAGAAGGTGGGTGTGGCAACGCCGGTGCGACCCGTGGCCACCGGGTTTCCGGTGCAGGTCCTGGAGCCCGTGCTCCGAAGTTGAAGTCATCCGTTCCATAATACGCCCGAATTCTTTTTTTTCATTTTTGAGATTGGGTCTCGTGCTGTGGCAAGGCGAGTGTGGAGTGGCGCGGCCTCTGCTCACTGTAGCTTCTACCTCGCAGGCTCAAGCGAGCCTCCTGCCTCAGTCTCCCCCGTAGCTTGGACTACAGACTCCCGCCACCATCCCTAGCTAATTTTTGTATTTTTTGTAGAGGCGGGTTTCGCTGTGCTTACCAGGCTGGTCTCAAACTCCAGGGCTCAAGCGATCCTCCCTCCTGGGCCTCCCAAGATGGCAGCAGTTACAGGCATGAATGAGCCACCGGTGCTGGGCAACTTTCTAGGAGGCTTCCTGCAGTTAAGATAAATTCTTCTCACTGCCCAGGCACCGCCGTATTTCTGAGCCTATATCTTTCTCTAATTCACAGATTCCTTGCAGGGACCTGTTTAAATAGCATGAACTCAATTTTTGAACTGACAGTGTTTGCTTTTAAAAAATTGCCTTAGTGTGTGAAAATCACTGCCTTTATTCCTTGTAAACTTAGTTAACTCGTTGTCATCTTCAGGTTTAAAGTTTTGAATGAGTAAAATGGCATAAATAGCACCTGCCATTCTAAGGAAGTTGAGTAAGATAATTGCGGTGAACAAGCTGCGCACCAGTTTCCCGCCAGTAGCATCTGATTCACCTGGGAACTGTTAAGTTTTGGCACGTTCCCCGTCCTTATCCCAGACCTCCTGAATCAGACACTGGGGGTGAGGCCCAGCAATCTATGTTTTAACAAACTTTATAGCGATTCTAATGCATGCTCAAACTGAGAACCACAGAAGATATGGAAGCACAGCAGACACAGGTGCATCCCCACCGAACATCCATTTCTCCCTCCAGTTCCTTCCTAAGGGAGCCCTGATTTGATCGCTAGATCTTGAGTAGAAACTTGGTCTAAATTAGCGGTTCTCATTATGGCCTCAGGACCCTTTACGTCTAAAATATCCACACGAACAAATAGTTTGTATTATGATTATCACTATCATATTAAAAATTAAATCATCTTAATACTTTTAAAAAATGTTACACATTAACAAAATATTTTTGTGGAATTCAACTATTTCCCAAATCTTCATCCCCACCCCAACTGGTAAATAGTGTGACACTGTCACTGGTATAAGCCTCTTGAATAGCTGTGGCTTTTTTTCTGGTAGACACAGGGTCTCTCTTTTGCCCAGGCTGGTCTCAAACTACTGGCCTCAAAATACCCCTCTGCCTCCACCTCCCAAAGTGTTGGGATTCCAGGTATGAGCCACCAAGCCCAGCCAGTTTTTTTTAGTCTATAGGCACAGCTGCTTAAGGAAGCCAGATGGCCCAGTTATCACCAGAGCTTCCTGACCCCTTGCTGAATACCAGAGAAAGATAAACAGGTGACCTCCAGTTACCTTTGGATCATTAACATTATAATGCTAAAATCCTCTCCCCTGAAGGCAGATCACTGGCATCTTGTGTACATGGATATATGAAGTAGCATGTTCAGGGACTGGGCCTGCTTGTCTGGAACTCCAGCCTGTGCATGCCCTTCATACCTCCCCTGCCCCCTCAACTCTTTCAACTCCTCCGCCTCCCATCCTTCAGGAAAAAGGTGCCTTTAGAGGGTAAGCTCCCCTTCTCCATTCTCTGGCTACTGAATGAAACCCGATTGCCTTTCTGAGTAGACGTTCTTTCTTTGTGGCTGACATAAAGTAAGGAAAGAGGACAGTTTACCAGTGATGGAATCACTTTACATTTCGTAATTCCTTCTGTCTTAAGACAGGTAGATTCTTGTTTGCGTCTAAATTCAATCTGTTGCAAAATTACATCATGTAGCCTCTGGAAAACTCCATTGTACACTCATGAAGGAATGAGTGAAATGGCAAATGTTTTTAATATTATAAAAATAGTCCTTTAAAACTTCTTGAAATTGTCTCAGGGGTCTCCAGTGTTCCCCAAATCATGCTTTAAGAACCATTTGTGCAACTAATCATGATGGTTTCATTCTTTCACCAGCCATTGGTTTGGGGGTAGGCACAGGCCCCTGATCTGACCAAGGAAAAGTGAGAGGCAGTGTGCTTGATGGGATGGTGCTTTGAGATTTCCTCACCTCCTAAGAAGACACTAGAAGACAGGCATTATCTGTCTCTGGATCAAGTAAGGTGGCTGCACATACGCCATCAAAAGATGAAACCAACATAGAAAAAAATCTCAAGGAAGCAGAGCAAAGCCCGTATGTACAGTATCGGGAGTTGTCTTACCTCTGGACTTCCTGTATGTGAAATAACCTGTCAATTCTGTGCAAGGAGGCCATGGGTACACTAAAGGAGGAGCAGATTATTTTAACTGTGGGAACTAAGGATAGTCATAAGGAAAAAGTAGCACTTAAATGTGTAATGAGAATGGAAGAGAAAAAAAGGCTGAAGAAAAGGTGACTATACCAAGTGTGTACAGACCATTTCTAGGTTCTTTCACTTTCTCTTGTTAAATCTGCCTGTCTTCCAAGCCTCCTCTCACCCCTTCCCTCCTTAAATATCTTATTCCAGACACTCAAGAGAGCCTACAAACACATCAAGCAGAGTCTTCTTATGAGGGAAAAATGACAAAGTAATTTTTTGCTTGCCATGATCCGCATAAACAAAATTTTTAAATAGTTCTTTATTCATAAACTTGATGCAAGTTTACAAAATTTACTGTAGATTGCCAAATAAAATCTGCAATTAAAAATAAAATCCATAAAACAAAGCATGCCAAATGTGCAGCTATCAATCTGCTTGCCATGAAGATATTAAAGAATTCAATAATGTATTCAAGAGTTAGCCTTAGGTTTAAGGAACTTTAATGCTTTAAAGAATTCTGCCTTGTCACTTGTTATCTGAGCCACTGGCACTCAGAACTTCATACAAATGTAACCAAGTGAACAAGAACACCAGAAAATCTATTTATTGCCCTCTTAACCAAAATAGAATCAAAAGAAATTAAATACACACAATAATGTAGAAGTGCCAAGTCTCTTGGATGTGGTTTACAAAGTTAAAAACTGAATCTCAAAGCAAATGCATAAGAAAGCACTTTTGAACTTTGTAACTGGTTTGTGCAGAAAAATGTGCTTCTGGATTTCTTGTTAAAAGTGCTTAATAGCTAGAATTTACTTTTAAATCAAACTTGGGTGTATTAAAAAAACTATTACCAACCAAAAAAGGACTGATTCAGGTAAGGCAATAAAATGGAGAGTACCTTGATTTGAGTCAGGTTCTATAAAAAAAAATTAACATATGTAAAGTTTCTATTAATCTTTCAATGTAAAAGCCATTTTTATGACTATGGTGAAAATTATTCTAAAAGTCTCCAAATTATCTTTTTGTACTTAACTGTGCAGCTTTTGCTCAAGGAGTCTTTGTGCCAATCACTTTATAAGTTTTTTAATTTACAAATGATTGCAACATCCCGTTAATAAAATGGAAACATAAGATGACTTAGTATTTTAAATAACTTTCAGCTCTATCCTGTGGCTCTTCTTCATAAGAAACACTGAACCAACAAGCAGCAGATTCAGCCCAGCAAGACTCTGATGCCCCAGTGGAAACCACTACTCACAAGCCTTAATTAATATAGTTTTACACTGCTTTGCCTAAAAAATACAATACAACTCAATTAAGATTATATCTTCAGGGAACAATTCATATCTTCACATAGTCATTAAAAAGTTTAACAATTTAATGAGTAGGTTTCCTGGTTTTGGCAATATCATAAAATGGTTTTAAACATGAAAGAGCTACTATGATTTAGAAAGCCTTAAATTTTCAAAACCAATATTGAACATTGATTAAACTTGTACTGGCTCTAAATGGAACAATATATTGCAAATCCTTATAACCCATGGGCTTAATATAGAAAAGTAACCCTAAAGCCACGACTTCAGTAGCCTGATGCTGACTTGACTGCTTTAAAAAGTTCACTTTTCAAGAAAAAGAGATGATAAGGAGTGACCAGTATGTGTATTTATGAGGAAAAATACAGTAAAGTCCCCACTGCTCAGTCCAAGATATCTAAAATGAGCAAAATGCAAAGGCTATAACTTATACTGGATGTCAGTTGACATTATCCACTAAAATATCTATTAACTAACGTCTTCGGTACCACTGCAATAGGGGCACTCAAAGCTTGTGTCTGCATGTTGGAAAGATTTTCTTTAAAGCAACATTGGTCCAGACATGTAACCAGGCAACATATTTAGCCATCTTCCTTTGGAGGGGTGTACCAGCCTGAAATAGAATGAAAAAAAAAAAGTTAAAATATTTTAATTCTTAAACCAATCAGAAGAACTGGCATGTAATAAGGTTAGCTACAGTCTCTCTTCATAATTTTGATGTTTAAATATGCTGTAAAAAAAAATTTTTTTTGGTTTTGTTTTGTTTTGTTTTAAACAGCGTTCCACTCTGTTGCCTAGGCTAGAGTGCAACGGCTCAATCTTGGCTCACTGCAACCTCCGTGTCCCAGATCAAGCAATTCTCCTGCCTCAGCCGCCCAAGTAGCTGGGATTACAGGCACGTACCACCATGCCTGGCTAATTTTTTTTTTTTTTAGTAGAGACAGGGTTTCTCCTGTTGGTCAGTCTGGTCTCGAACTCCTGACCTCAAGGCAATCCACCTGCCTCTGCCTCCCAAAGTGCTGGAATTGCAAGTGTGAACAACCACACCTGACCTACTGTAAAAATTAAACTTACACTTGGATTGGTAACACTGCATTTTGCTATTTCACGACAGAAACTTATTTTCTATGAATAAATTATATTTGAATTTTCCACACAAGAGCTCTGTATTAATGGTATCTCTAACTAAAGATGACTGTGGAATATTAGACTAAAAGAATAAGTTTTATTCTACTT